GATTGAAAAGATTTTCAATGCTTCTTCGACGTGCCAAATTTACCCGAAGAGTTTAAGATTCAGTTTGTTGAGCACTGGCATCCGATAGATTATGGACTGTGCATATGCTATTCCAATGGTAGTGTGGGTTAAAACATTCATTCAAGGAAAAGAATCGAGCCTTACAGGCTAAACTTCTCAGTTCGATTTAGCGACCGATTAGTCCAAAAGTTTTCAATGTTAGCCACATGAGTACCAATTTTCCGTAAGGTTATTTTCTAGTGAACATGTGTGAGTGTGCTTCATTTCATCTAGATGAGAAATGGTGAGGCAACAGGCTTCGCCTAAACTACCAGTAAAAGCTCGGTTAGGTTAAGGCTATTGGAGACGGGGATCTAGTGTTTTGGAGAACGACTTGTAGAGTGATTAATAACTGGGTAGCACTAGCGTGCTTTGTCTATTCTGCATTCGAGGTTTCACTCAAGAGGAACGTCAAGTTAATCAAATCATTTGTTTTAGGTTGCACTGAACAGTGACCTCAACGGAAGCCCCGAGAAGTAACATGGGCTAATTATGAGTTGAAATATCAGCCGTAACTCGTGAGATGTGGACGTGATGATATTTACCACTAAATGGACTAGTTTGCACAAATTAAAAGGACGTGTCAGTGATTGGTGCTGTCGAGTTGTACGCTGTTGCTTCGCACACTTCATGAACGCAAAAAAAGTGATGGGATCGTCGCTTTTCTTTGTGGTGCGATAATTGGCACAGTGAATTGATCCTAGCAACCCACCAGGGATCTTTAATTCATAATTAGACACAGTGCATAGGTACCCGGTTAAAGGGACCTCTGGTACATCTTCAATGAAATTTGACGAACTAACAACAAATGTTATGCTGAACTCTGTTCACTATAATTCGGCTGAGGTGTTGGCTTTCTCGTCCGTTGTTCACTAACCAAACAGTATTAAACGGTATCCGTTTATCTCGGATTGCCATGGAAAGAGAGACGAGTACAAAACCACAAGATATACCTCGGGTCCATTGAATTCAGCCAGCACCCTCGTTTAATTTGCTTGAGAAAAAATTAATCATTACTGACACATCAACCCCGTCATTCGAAATAATATTGAACATAATAAAGGATACCACTAGATTCTAATCAAAAATTGAAGCCCTAAGTATTTCTGTTGTTTTCCAGTCCGTCGCCCAGCCCAACTTTGCGGCGTGAAAACAGATGACAGCTGAAATTTCAATGAATACGAACAATAAACCGTTATCAAAATGAAGGTGGCATGGGCACCAAACCGGGTTTGAAGTAAAAAAAAACCAACACAATTAACTATCCTCTCTACGAAAATGGATAGCGTGAACCCTGTGCAACTTACCGCTTAGAGAGAAATCAATCGCATTGCATCCGAAAATCACACTGTCCTTTTTATAAACACACACTTCACGATCTGCACGCAAATCAAACAGTCGAATTGTCGCATCATCAGACCCGGTGGCAAATGCGTCACCACTTGGATAGAATCGAACACTGTTCACATCCGAGTCGTGACCTTGAAACACTTGCACACACTGACCGGTGCGCATATCCCAAACATTGGCAGACCGATCGCAGCCCTGCAGCGAAACGGATAAAAACAATCAACGACAATTTCCACCTCAGATGGCTCAGCAACTGACTAGTTATTTTGGCAAAATAATTGTAGCACAGAAGACAATTCACTTTTATCACGCCTGGAGGTTATTGGTGAACGGATTACACCCAACGCGTAAGCTGGATGAACACATGAGGCAGAATAAGTTACACACGGGCTGGTTCACTGAGTAACAGCAACAGTTTAACATGGATAACTGGAAAATATCGTATTTACATAGGGCGAAAATGGTTGAGGAACACATATTGTAGACTCAGAAAATTGAACTGTTCTCCTGATTCGTACGTAGGAGCTACTTTAACGTGTAATGTCGCAGTATGGTAACGCTCGAAAAACTGCGTGACAATACTGGGATTCCAAAATACAAAGAA